AGAGAATGTAGACGTAACTATGCTGAGTTCAAGCCCGCAGATCAAGTTTTTCATTATATTCGTGCAACAGCTCTGAGAGTCAAATACAGTACATTTGCAAACCTCCCTTAAAGGTAGAACTCATGTTGCATAACATCAGTTGGTAGAATTACATTATCAAGCATTTGCTAAAAAAAGGTAAATAAGGTGCATCCCACTGTTTTGTCTTGTTATTTACAACATTTATTGTAGTTTTTCCTGCGAAATGATCACAAAGTATAAAGGTATAAAATACAAATAAATGTAAAACTACTGAATCCAGCTTTGTCATTTTGAGTTCTCAAAACGTCTTCAGTTCAAGCATTAGGTTGTAAAAAATTGACAAGATCAAGTGGGTAATATGTGGTTGTCCAAAACGGACGCGGGAAAGTAAACGCATATTAAAACAAGAAAGATTGATATTCAAATCACGTTGGGTATTTTATTTTGAAGGTTCATTTATACCATTTATGTATGAAAAATAATATCGCTCAAATGTTCACCACGACTGGATTTACAGACGTCCACGCGATGGTCGAAATTTTCAATGACATTTTGCAACATGGTCGGTTCTGTGGCATTTATCTCGGCAATGATGTTGTTTTTGAGTTCTTGGAGGGCGGTTGGTTTGTTGACGTAGACTTTGCTTTTCAAATATCCCCATAAAAAGAAGTCCAAGGGAGTAAAAATCGCACGATCTTGGTGGTCAAGGCACATTTCCTCTGCGCGAAATCACGCGATCACCGAAGGACTGCAATCGATGGATATTGACGTTGGTTGTGTGGCATGTTGCACCGTCTTGTTGGAAATAAACATCGTCCATATCCATTCCTTCAAGTTGCGGCAAAAAATAGTCCTTTATCATCACGTGATATCGCTCAGAATTAACGTTAACGGCGTCCCCGGCCGCATTTTCTAAAAAGTAAGGTCCGATGATGCCTTTTGACCACAATGCACACCACACAGTCACTTTTTGAGGATGCATCGGCTGCTCTTGATACTCACGGGTATTTTCGTTCGCCCAGATGCGGCAGTTTTGCTTGTTTACCGTACCATTCAAAGTGAAATGCGCTTCGTCGCTGAACATGATTTTTAATGAAAAATTGGCATCAATTTGGCGGTGTTCAAGGAGCCAATCTGAGAACGTTCGACGCGAAAAATGGTCGGCCCGACGCAGCTCTTGCGTCAATTGGATCTTGTAGGCGTGTAAATTCAAATCCTTGTGGAGAATGCGGAGCAAACTGGTTCTCGAAATGCCCAATTCTTGGGATCGACGCTTTGTTGATTGTTTCGGATCGTCTCTCACACTCTCCTTCACAACAGCAATATTTACCGGTGTGCGAACGCTCCTTGGCCGGCCAGAGCCTGGCAGATTTGCCACAGAACCTGTTGCCTCGAATTTACGCACCAGACGACCGACGGTTATTTCGTTTGGGCGGCTGTTGCGACCGAAATGTTCACGAAGCGCGCGAAACGTGTTTTTTATTTTTGCACCATTTTTGTTGTGCTCTTGAATAACTTTGATGCGGTCTTCAATCGAATACGACTCCATAGCGATCAATGTTAAACATTCAACTAACAAAATGACATGTCGGTGACAGAAAACAAAGATAGCGTCTATGTCAAATTGACGTTTACTTTCCTGCGTCCCTATTGGACAACCCTAATTTGAAGTTTTGAGTTTTATGTTAGATGAACTAATAGAAGTAGGAAACTTGAATAAATAAAGATGTTTTATTGAAAAACTTAAAGAGGTGCGATTAGCCTGTTTTGCTCATTGTTAAGCACCATTAATTGGATTTTTAAGAGGTTGAACATTTCGGTAGCCAGCTTAAAAGATGTTGATTTTTATAAAAGGAGTTAAAAAGTCATGTCCTGGTTTATTCAACCATTCGACTAGGTTTATGCTACCCCTAGGACGTACGGTGAAAGATTTCATCAAAATTCATTCAGTAGTGCTTAAGACATGTCACATCACGATATAAGATATGGATTTGGCGTGTTTAAACAAATCCGTAAAAACGAATCTGGAACTTTTCTATTTTCAGATAGGTCCATTTTCAGATAGGTCCATACTACCCCAATTTCCGTTTCTCCGCGAAACACCCTGTATGGTTTCGAGATGTATATGGAAGATAAATTCCTCTGAATATAAATCTCTTCCTGAGTGGAATTCTTATTCAAAACTTGACATAACATAAGGTTTCGGAAATTGAAGCGGGGGTTTGCCCCATTACATAAATCGAGGCCGCCTAAAATGTAATTTAGTGAATTAATACTGATAAGCTCAGGGGTGTGATTACAAAAACTGTACGTGGCGAGAAAAATTATAACAATAAACTCAATAAATTTTCAACACGTGAAGCAGCCAATGTGTCAGGTATCAATAATTGACAAGGAGGAGAACAGAAGAACATCAATGACCAAAAGGTGCCAAGGATATGTATACCTCACGACCACATCTAAGATGTAATACGTAATGTTAAATTCTTGTAGTGGGTGAAGTGGGCCGCTCGGGGTGCGATTCGGAGAAGGTTATCGGCACATACGAGCCCCTTCCCACTTCAGTTGGCCCATTTCAAGATTTGTACCAAAATATGCCTTTATAAACTGAACATGACGAAACTATTTACTTCTAAAACAAGTTATTTTCTCAAAAACATTTTAGATACACTCTAGTCGTAAAAAATACATATTTGAAATCACTTATTTCTTCCCATATTTCTTGAAGCTTTTGTCTCAGTTCGGTGTTGGATGTTGTCGTAGAACTTTTTTCATCTCGTACCACAAAGTTTCAATAGGTGACAGATCTGGACTGCTAGAAACCCATTTCAAAGGTGGTACATTATTTCCTTCCATCCATTAGCCTTTTTTGAGGTATGGCACGCTGCACCGTCTTGCTGAAACACAAAATCTTGGTCGGTTGTCAAACATTCTTCCATCACTGGTAAAAGCGCTTCTTCTAAAATTGCCAAATATTTGTTTGTATCCACATTTCCATCAATAAAATGAAGTTTTCCTACTCCTTTTGATGACATACTGCCCCAGACCATAATGGATGCTGGAAATTTCACTTTTCTCTTCAGACAGTTAACATGGAATGCTTCATTTTTTTGCGAATAACTCTACTGCGACTATCACCAACACAAACTTCGAATCGGGCCTCATCACTCCATTTTATTGCACACCATTGTTGAGGTGTCCATTGTCTATGTTCTTCAGCCCATCTAAGCCGATTTTTCTTCTGCAGTGGAGTTAGTAGTGGCTGTTCTTTGGCCTATAAACAAGTTGTGCAACTTTAGGGTTTTTAATTCACTTTTTTTTATAAGAAAACTTACCTTGCAAGTGCTAAATCCCAGTTTGTGGGCCTCTCTATGAGTTGTGGACCTCGAAATTCTCCTTCCAACAGCGTCACTCCACAGAGCACTTAATTGTAAATAATTGGCACGCCTGTTTTTCACGATTATTCTTCTCAATGCTCTTCGGTCGGCATTTGTGATATTACTTTTTTTCACATATCATGGCTTAATATTAACTGAACCAATTACGTTATATCTTCTAGCCATATTTCTCACACTGTACCGCCATAAGTCTAACAAAGTTGCAGTTTCTGAGTTTGATTTCCCATAATTAAAACATTTAATTATCAGTAACAGAATTTTCTCACTAATAACCTTTCTTCTACCCATTTTGAAAACCTTAACTACCCAAAACTATTTTAAACGTATTCTGACAGCTGTGATTAATAAAAACAATTGTCATGGCTTTTATTTTTCACACCCAGCTATGCGTTATAGACTTATTTTGCATTGAAATGAAAATAAGTTGATATGCTGTAATTGCATGTGTTATTTTTATGCTGCAAATTTGATTAAGGAATGATAAAGTTGGTGTTTTCTACTATATATTATCTGAATATTCATTGTTAATACTTTAAATCTATAACACGCTGCTACATTTTTATTATTTGTGTTTGATCAGGAAAAAAAATCAGATTTCAATAGTTGGGCGAACTGAAGTGGGAAGGGGCTCGTAGTGAATGGAGACATTATCCCTTCCTCAGGGGTTCTTGAAGTTTGGGGCAGGGTGAAGAAAATATAACCCTGTCCAGTGGAGGAGAGTTTCCAATCGTACCTAGGCTCAGTGAAGAGTCAAGAAGCAAAGACGAAAAAAAGATTTAGCCTGAAACAAAATTCAATATGGCAGCGGGTTCCATGATAATACAAGTCGGATGCTACCTTCGTTGGAGTGTGGCCCAAAAGAGCATTTCGACAAGGCTATACCGAAAAGTCGGAAAAACATATTTGGTAAATCTCCCGGATTTCCGTAAGACATAAACATAATGACGATCATCGATATGACTTTTTTTCTGGCTAAATCTTCAAAGTTGCGTGATACTCTAACGAGTTACTACCAAAAAGAGTAATTTCTCGAATTTAGGTCATGGAACCCAATGCTTCCGGACATCAAGTTGGACGGAACAGCACTAGACATTTGGATCATCGATGTGGCACATGTCATTATGTGACGAACGAAAATTGAAACATTTCCCTACTACAGTAGCAGAGATTAGACGAAATATTCTCAAGAAGCCATAGAGAAATACTTCAGAGGAATGACGGTAGTTCAATTTTAAATATGTTAACATTTGTCTACTGTTTACAATCTTTGCAGAGTCGCAGCAGTTACTACAGGATATCCGGATGAAGTTCAGGGCTGTTCCCACGGACCATTGTGGCACCTTGGCGAATTCAGCTTTGGTAGCTGTTCACAGTGTACAATTTCCCATCCAAGAAATCCTAAATTGTGAGATAAGAGTTTGATTTACTTTAAGACTGTATCAGAAGATTATTGTTATGGGTAAAAAGGATGAATTTCAATAGATTTACTTGGCCTTTGTGGAGGAGCTACAACATTTTGATGCAGGCATTGCACTGATTATAATTACGAAAAGCTTGTTACGTCAGAACCTGTTCTGGAACATGTCAAATTTTGTCCACACTTAGCGGAAGGAAATAATTTCGAGACATCAAATCGTACGACATCTCTGGAGATATCTGAATGGCAAAGCAATTATTGACGCTTTTCTGTCGCTAGATAGAAAAGAAGTAAGGCTGTTGATAGCGCTCCTTGCTGGCTACGATACGTGCTTTCGTATTCCTATATTACCTCTGGCAGGGGTTATTTTTACTCTGCTTCTATCCCATTTCCCATCTAGACCAAGCTGATGATTGCCAACAGCCATGAAACAGCTTCACATGCTTAATTGACCAGAATCGGTAGCGGTATTAGTGAACTGAGATACATTTGCAGCACCAACCGACAGTTGCTCTACATTTCCCAGCCGCTAATTTCGGTAATAAATGTACTTTTCTAATACCTCAGATGGGTTTTGTTTTTGTTGTGCTTTTATTAGACCATACTAGACCATGTTAGTCCTCAAGTAATGCCTTAGCAGCAATAACCACTTAGACGCCTTTGTATACGTTTTATTTACAACCTGAAAAGCTGCTCCATTAAAAGGAGTTTAAGGATTCGAGTAACCTCAGTAATAATAAAGCTCACTACCTAAAACCATCTTGCCATATATAATTTTCCATATTTTCTGAAGTTTTTCAAGGTACCTTGTTTGTACGCTATAGATAATGAGCCGCTTACCATACCTACGATCAAAGATAATTAAATGTCAAAAATAATTATCTGAGAATAGTATAAGTAGTGAAAAGGTTGATATTACGAACCAGATTACTGGTTACTTTTTGAGGTCGACGCTAAACGACGAGACGGTTTGAGTTACGGTTTGCAATGAATCCCATAAAACGAATTTACTTAACCCATTAGCGCATACATAAAATTTGTCGACAATTTGTTTTTAACAACATATCAGACAGCAAGTTCGACGGTTAGAGCTTCCAACATTCATTTGTGAGGAATTGCCTATTAATATTCCTATGACTGGTGAAGATATTGCCCAACTAGTCAATGCAAGCATGCATTGAAGCATGTTATACAGGATGTCCTGAAATATATGGCAAACGTTTCTAGCTCATATTGGGCCAAAAACCGGTTCTCATACAAATGCTCTGCCGAGGGATACTGTTGGAAATCATTTTCGTTTTACTGTTACTTGATTCTTAATACCATGCTCATAATAGAACTTCAATAAATATGTAGCTTGATCCCATATTCCAAAGTGTACGCTTACTTGACACAGATGAAATCTTAGGATTTATTTTTACTGTGAGGCTGACAAATTCATGATAAGCATGATTAGAAAAATAAACCAAATGTTCAAAATGTATGCAGTACCAATTTTTCAGTCACAAATTGAGTGTGTCTACTTCACTGTTAACCAGAAGTGAACTCTCTAATGGTGGTTTGCACCGCTTTGAGTTAAAGTCAGTTATGAAGATCACTTCCGGTTAACCTAAAAACCGTAACATAAAAATTGTCGTATATAATTTGAGATTACATTCTCACTCTTCGTTGAGCTTACCTCTCCTTTGAAGTACACATCATGAATACATGGGTTGAGTTGTTACTGTAAGTTAATGCGATGGTTTTGAGGTTATTCTCAGATTATATTTACGCCTTGCCTTGGCTGGAAGCAGTTCAGTTGACTGTAAGACCTTTAAGGAGTACGGTTTCTACTAGAACGGTAGATTGCTTTTACTAGAGGACCATCTTTGAGCTAGGCAGGGAATCATAGTTAAGCCGGAATATGAGATTGAACTTATAGCTCTCGTAGTGGCAATAGGACGGCTTGGCAGAGTCGACGCTTAGGTAACTAGAGTTACGAAACCATGTAGAAAGCGTGCTAGCATTCTAGAAACACCTGATGCCATCTAGACCACTTCTATGTAAGTTACAGAAAACGCTGGAATATTTCCCTACGCGTCGATAGGTGAATAAATACCAGACCAGATGACGGAAGCAGTTAGGCACAGTCGATACACAGCCAAACCAGTGCACAGCGAATGCGGAATTAAGAAGGAATATAGTCCATAGTTATAAATTTGTTATAATTTAGTTGCACGTGTTATAAATTAGTGTAGCAGTAGTAAGTTAGACTTAGAACACTAAAACAGTGTTTTTGTTACAAGTTGCAATAGAAATAGCTTGATTGTCTTGTTGTGTGTGAACAAATTCACTAGCAACTCATAGTTAACGTCAAGGTTAGAATCGTTCAACATAGAAGTTAAGCTGCGATTGATGAATCAAGTCTAAAAAAATTAAAAAATCATTTCTGTGATTGTCAAAAAAACGTAGCTAATTATGAATTGAATGAATAAATATGTCTTGGAGGTAGTTAAGATAATAGTTGAAAAAATGTCAATTTGCAGCTGTCACGTTAGGCATTTTAGTTTACCCCTATGGCCTGCTTACACCTTGGGTGACTAACCACAAGACTGTGCTATCACGTGCGTTAACATCAGTCTATGCTAAAATATGTCACAATACTAGTTAATTTACACGGTTTGCCATGGGCAACCGCAGCATTACTGATCATGGTATGAACATGCGACAGTCTTTAGTGCTATTGATTTTCTGTTTTATTATGGTCTTCCGTCATCGGTATAAGAAAGCTGTATTAGTTACGAAGAATAAGAGGGGGGTTATTCTTATTATATTTTCCTTATTTAGCGCTGTTGTCGGAATTTGGAAAGCTGGATAAGCTTAATAATAATTTCAAGCTATAAAAACATCTGAATTGGAATATAATAGAAATGTGGGTCTTAGATTGCAGATGAAAATAAATGCAGGAGGTAGGCATAGAGCTCTAAATAAATCGAGTTTTTCTGATTTTCATTATGTATGCAATGTGGCAAGGTAGCCCATGGTTTTGTGGTCACTTTTCCTGCGGTTGTATGATTCTAAGCCGCGGTTTGGAGGCAAATAAAACAGAAACTTTTTTATGGAGGAATTCAATAAAGTTTTGATATTTTAAAGTAAGCTTCATGTGAAAATTGAAAAACTAAGCAACCTGTCATGATTTTCAGTAGTCAGTACTTTCAAATTACCACGGTTCCCTTTAGTGGTCTTAAAATCCCTTTTTATGTCGACATCTGTTATTTACTGCCCCTGTCAAAAATAACAAAACGGAAGGCTAAACGATTCGTTACTTTTGTAGCTCTAAAAGCTATGTATGGTGATTAGTGTAGCATTAAAGGTTCAGCTTAGCGCGCCAAGCGCCATTTGATACATTTTCAGGTTACGCTGCCATCTGATGCGACGTAACATAGTTCATAACAATTGCAGGCAACATAAAGACATGGCATTCAAGAGCTAAACTATTTCAATCTAAGCGCCAAACGTAATAATTGTTATTCATTTTGCAACACTTGACTAAACGACCAGATTTGGGTGATGATAGTAAGCAAACTTCCAACGTCTTGCTTGAAATGTGACCAACTTTCATTTATTTATCTGTTGGTTACGTAATGCAATTTGCACCATAGGCGGGAACGCTTGCTTATATAGAACACCTTTCAAAATACTTTAATACTGCAACTTACTCGTGAACTGCTTGTTTCCGGTTTTCATATCCATTCTCTTTAGCGTGACAAAATAAATGTATGATTTTAGGAGCGAGCTTAGTCAGTAGTACACAGCCGCCGTCTTAAAATCTAGTGTTTATGCCTCAATTTTATCATCAGGAATTTCAGCTTGCCAACTTGACTCATTCAAGAAATAGGATGGAGGGTGGGGGAATCTTTCTGAGAAGCCAAGAATTAGAGAAATTGAGCAGCTTAGAGATAAGCTATGCAGTATTTTTGTTAAAACTGATTTTGAAGCTGATCCTAAATAGATCAATATTGAGGAAAAAACGAACACCCAGATTCAAGGATTACTAAGTTAACACATCGAAAGGTTGTGGCCCAATGCAAAACATGTATCAAAAAAGAAGCTACAACATTTAAAATCATCACTAAACCTTAAACCCAATGATCCCAAGAAGTTCTATACGCAGCTATAGCTAGCGATGCAAGTATTGAAGAAGATATAGATGGGTTCAATGACCAGATCTTGAACTTGAGCATGAATAATAAAAATTTTCAATTCATATTCTCGATCCTTTTATGAAATGTGTAGCTACTTTTTGTTTCATTTAATTTTCACACACAATTGAGTTTAAGAATACAAATTTGACACTTATTTTATTTGTTTGGTTTTGGAAATGTTTTAACGTCTGCTTATGTTTAATGTCTTAAGGAACTTGATATTAATTACTTTACAATATTCCTAAGCTTCCAAAACTTGACCAACTGACATTTTTGTGTTGTTGTCAATGAGCAAGGGGAAAAATAGGCATTCCTTTTGCAAGCGTCAGTTGACCAAGAGCCATTTAATTTTGTTAGATTTTAGGTACCAAAGTTTTTGTAAAAATGATCCATAAATTTGCAATATCCCTTTCTATTAACAGAACAAAAATTAATTTTGGCAATCGTCCCATTGGCTTTCAACGACGAAGTTATTTCGTTATTCTGTTAAAAACTTTCCAACTTAGATTGACGCTACAAGGTACAAAAGTTCGTACAGTTCTCCTTTCATGTATACATTGTTGTATGCAGTTATCCATTTAGCTTGGAATACCCTGTAGATACACCCACAACATTGTATATTCACTTACATGGCACATCATTGGCATTTCTTAGAAGACAAATCAGTTTCTTTGTATCATTACATAATGAATGGGTATTGGATAACCCATCACAAGCCATATATGCATGTCTTCCCCTTTATCTAGGTTTGATTGTTTCAGATTGCTATGAAGCTCATTACTAACCAGTTTCTATGTAGAGATTTTTCCGATAGAGCTACAAAAATACCATTGAATGGGTGCAAAGGTGAGTCTGGACGGACGTTAAATGCACATGCATGTTGTCTACCATATCGAGGACATATTGAGAAACAGACGGCAATGGTGTGTAGACGAGTATAGTCTAGTAATAAGGCTTCTCTTGGGATGATTTGGTGTTGACGACCAATGAGTGAAATCTCAGATGCTGAGTAAATTGTCGGGGCAGCCGAAACGTCAAATATTTTTGCGAGTATTTGGGCTTAAATTTCTTGAATGTCGACTGTGATTTTTTGTTTCAATTGTCTTTGGATGGCATAACACTTGTTCGGTTCACGTCAGAATTTCGCCTTATGGCTATTTTCGAAAACCGTGCTCAAAAGTTCAATTGTTACGTTGTGTTTAAGTTCAGCCGTTCTATTGAAACGTAGTACGTTATATCTTCTAACAATATTTTTCACACTGTACCGCGATAAGCCTAATAAATTTGCAATTTCATAGTTTGATTTCCCAGAGTTAAAAAATTTAATTATCAGTAACCGAATTTTCTCACTAATAACCCTTCCTCTACCCATTTTGAAAACCTTAACTACCAAAAACTAATTTAAACGAATTCTGACAGCTGTGATTAATAAAAACAGTTGTCATGGCTTTTATTTTTCACAGCCAGCTACGCGTTATAGACTTATTTTGCATTGAAATGAAAATAGGTTGATACGATGTAATTGCAACATGTGTTATTTTTATGCTGCAAATTTGATTAGGGAGTGATAAAGTTGGTGTTTTCTACTATATATTATCAAAATATTCATTGTTATTATTTTAAACCTATAACACCCTGCTACATTTTTATTATTTGTGTTTGATAAGAAAAAATTAAGAGTTCAATAGTTGGGCCAACTCAATTGGGAAGCGGCTCGTACATCTAAATACTTTTCCTCAAATTAGATACATTTGGAAGTTTCAGCTGTCTAGGAATGGAGCTGTAGGATTTGTAATAAAATAAAATGTTGCTTTTGATCACAGACGATGATTCATCGTGTTATTTCCATGTGAAAACGTGCAGCACCCTGACACGTGAACAATGTACGTAGCGTGCGGAGTATGGCGCCCCACTGTTTTGATACGAACGTTCAACTTTCTTTTGTTATACTTCAAGAACCATCAAGTTGTCAAAAAAAACAAACAAAAGAGATCATTGTTTCAAAAACTCTTATCGTCTACAGAAAAAGAAGATAATGGGTTTTATACTCTTACATTGTTAGTTTCGTCATTACAAAGAAAAATATCATTACCCTTGAACTATTCATAAGCTGTTGACCTTTGGGCAAATCTTCAGAGAAACAAAATGATATAAAATCAAAATTCCTACAAAATTGTTTCTATATATTACCTTTTCACTTATGATCGATTATTTTCGTTATATACATATACTCGTATCACCAAACATATTTACTGTTGCAAGAATTCTAGGAAAAACGACCTACTTCCAGGCCTAAACAAAAGGCGTACAAATACTTGCAAGGGATCACGAAAATGATGATATATCAGTATATCTATAACAGAGTTATGTGTATTAGTTGTTTAACACCAGCTTAAACCATTAGAAACAAAATTCCACTGACGAACAAGAATCCTTCAGTCGTTTTCTGACATAGATGATATAATGATCAGAAGTCTTAATTAATGAGCAACTTTATTTCGTTCTTAGATTTAACTAATTTTAATAATATTCCAAATATAAATGGTCGAATGCTGGATTTAATTTTAGGAAATATCGAAATAGAAGTCCTCAGAGATAATACACCTTCTGTTAAAGAGGACGTTCATCATCCTGCACTGATCATGGAATTCATTACACCCGGATCTCCACCGAAATTCCCATTTGCTAATTCTCCACGGTTTAACTTTCGCAAAGCTAACTTTCCTGAAATGTACACAGCCTTGCAAGATGTTAATTGGATGCAGGTGATCAGTGCAGTTAATGTTGATGTCGCTTGTACCGCCTTGTATTCAGTTATCAATAACATCTTTGAGGTCCATGTCCCTAAATGTAAAAATAAAATGTTTTCGTATCCCCCATGGTTCAAACGTGAAATTATACTTAATATCAAGAAGAAGGACATAGCAAGAAGGAACTGGAAACGTGACGGTACTAAGTTTTCTTATGATCAGTTCAGTAATTTTAGGAAGCTCATTAAGAACCAGATCAGTGTTGCCTACTCCGCTTACGTCCAATCGGTTGAGGATGCCATTGTCAATGATCCTAGCAAATTCTGGTCATTTGCTCAGATCAAAAAACAGCAATCTAGAATCCCTCCAAGGATGACGCTTAACGGCAATGTCTGCGATACGCCTCAGGATATAGTGGACAGTTTTGCCACCTTCTTTTTTTATCCCGTCTGGTCTACTAGGGTCATCTCCTCCAACAAATAATTCTACCGATATCATTTCCTTAAAAAATATAAGTGAAGAAAACGTAATTAGGGCTTCGAAAAGATTAAAGAACAAAATGACGTCTGGATGTGATGGTATTCCAAGTTTTTTCGTTAAAGATTGCACTCATATACTAGCGAAACCGCTGGCTTCCATATTCAACCTAATTCTAAAATCAGAGACATATCCAAATATCTGGAAGACCTCTAAAATATGTCCTATTCACAAAAGTGGATATCTCTGATATTTCCAACTATCGCCAAATAGCAATCCTGTGCAATTTCAGCAAGTTGTTTGAGATCATCGCTTATGAAACGGTTTACTGCTCGGTCAAGGGTGCAGTCTCTATTAATCAGCATGGGTTTATGAGAGGCAGATCTACGGTCACCAACTTGGCTCTAATTACTCAGTATATTTCTGAAGTACTGGACGGTCAGGGACAAGTTGATGTCATCTACACAGATATTCAGAATGCGTTTGATCAAGTTGATCATTATGCACCTCTGGATAAGCTTAAAACAGTGGGTGTGTCTGCTGCAATGCTGTCGCTCATGAATTCATATTTGAGGGATAGAAGGTTATTTGTCGAATATGGTGGTCATAGGTCGAGTTACTATCGGGCCACGTCTGGGGTACCTCAAGGGTCAAATCTAGGTCCATTATTGTTTTTAATACTCATTAATGACTTGTCTTTTGAACTGAAGTGTTTCCCTTTGTTTCTCGCTGATGACCTTAAAATCTGCACGTCAGTCAAGACAGTCGAGGATTGCGTCATGTTGCAACATGACTAGCTCTAATTTCGTCATGGTGTTCACGAAACTGTCTCAGTCTGAATGTTTCGAAATGTAAAGTTATGACTTATACAAGAAAAGTTAACTATTTAATTTATGATAATTATAACATCAATGGTCAGGTTATAGACATATGCACCTCTTATAGAGACCTTGGAGTCATTTTTGATACCAAGCTAACGTTTACTGAGCATATACTCAATATCTCGTCGGTTGCCATTCGACTACTTGGTTTCTGTATCAGAAACTGGAAGGGTTTCTCCAATGTTGATACATTAATGACTTTATTTTTTACTTTTGTCAGGAGCAAGTTGGAGAATGAGACTCTGATCTGGTCTCCTATATACCAAAATTCTGTCGTGATCCTTGAGGCCAGTCAACGTAAAGCTTTAAAGTATTTTCACCTTAAATGCACAGGTTCTTATCCAGAAAGAGGTTGTGACCATAGTGCCCTATTAGAGTTTTTCAATTTGGATTCACTGTCAACAAGACGAAACATATTTGCTTTGTCGTTTTTGTATGGCCTCATTCACAATAAAATTGACTGTCAAAATTTACTTGAAAAAATTTGTTTCCGCGTTCCAAGGCTAGGGAGTCGACAACAAACGGCATTCTATTGTTAAGCTGGTCGTACAAATGTTATGACAAAATCGCCAATTAATCTCATGTGCTGCGTCATGAACAGTGTTACTGAATCGTGTGATATTTACAGTGACAGTTGTGCATCGATTATTAACTCCTATAGATCATCCAATCTTATTTAGAATGTGTGATACTATAGATTTAAGTCCAAGAACCATGTCTCCTTAATTGTTATTTTTTTCAGCGT